TTATTATTATTATTATTATTATTATTATTATTATTATTATTATTATTATTATTATTATTATTATTATTATTATTATGCTGTAAGCGAATTTAATCGGGGGTTACGTATTTAAAAAATAAATCAATAATATCAAGTATTTATTATACGTAGTTAGTGATCATCGTTTTTCGGTTGTCAAAATGGTAATCCAGAAATAAATTAAAAATGTGCCAGCGAAACTTGTTGTTTCGATTATTTCGCATAACTATAATATGTAGGTTTTGATCACATAATTATCTTTATCTAAACTCGTCTGGCATTGATTCCATGTCATATTTTTAAATTGCCATCACTATAAAGAATTTTCATAATTTATCGAGAGTAATACCGATATGTTCCGATAAATATTAATGGAATTGCAATGCTATCCGAATTTGAATTTTCTAATAAAAAATCAAAATGTATTAAAGGGCATCAAAAAATAAATTTTGCTAACGCTAAGTTTCCAATCCCAGCTCAAATGCATGTGGTCCAGCAAACGATCTAAAGTAAATCGTTATAAATATCGAAATTTCTTTTATTTGATAGATGTATAACGATCGTTATCGTTATCGTTTTTATTGTCCATTCATTGGTGTAACATGAAGATTATACATGTATTAGGCGCATACACACGCAAGATTTGAGACTACGTACATGTACTACAACGTAGCATATAATTTACAAAATAAACAAACATTAAATAAAAAAATCTAAAGAATGCAAAATTGCGAAAGAAATATGAATTTAGGATAAGAAAACACTTTGCTTATCGGAAAAGGAAATCTCATATGTGTGGGAAAAACTCCATAACTACATGAATCTCACCGGTACTTTCATGTTTCCCTGGTGGACTTACATGCACCCACAAATCTTGGTAAAACTGTTCGTAGACGGGCTTTAATGGGATTTTTGTTTCACCGAGCTTTGTTTGTTTGATAAAATAGAAAATAAATAAATAAAATAGAAAATTATATTTTTTTTCTTTGGCATAATTTTCGAATTACCTTGTCATCAATTATTAGGTCTTTATCAATAAGACGAAGATGAAGACTCTTCTGTCCATCTACTAAACTATAAATTCAACAAAATGTCTTTAATTATGAGAATTGTCATCTTAAATTATTGCTGATGATGAAACACATACAAAGTTCGTTCTTCAAGCCATACAGGCGTCCTCGTATTAAATCGTGATTCTGTTCGTTGCTTATGCCATCTGTCTAACCAAAATTCAACAAAAGGGTCTCCTGTAATTTGTCATGTTCGTATTTAGAACATCTTGGTGCCCTCTTATATCAATATGGTTTCCAATTGCATTTAAATTTACCTCTGCCTATTTTATATTAAAAAAAAAAAGAATGAAGTAATAGTAGAAGAAAAATATCATGAATGATGCCGAATGAAATTTACCTGTAATATCTCCATCTTTGACATTTCGTCCTTCAACTTTAAAATTAATTAGTAACGTTAACCGAAAATGTGTATTATTAAAGAATTGTTGCGATATTAATTACTTACGAATGCGCACGTGAAGTTCCCCTTTCGCCATTGTTTGTCGGTAAATTTAATAATATATTATCGTTATCGTTATAATTTTTATTATAATAATTATATTATCTTTGTTATAATAATTATTACTATTTTATTATTAAAAGAAATTTAAAAATTAAAGCAGCTCAGATGAATTGAACAGAATTATTGTACTTTGAGAAGAAGTGGTTTTATAGACAACGGGTTACAAAGTAAAATGATTGGTCAATATCAATGATGGCACACAAAAGTGGCGTATTAGGATTTAATGCGATACATAATATGTATGTGCCATACTTTTTTTGTCATTGTGTACATATATAAGGAGTTCGGAACATTTAAAATGAAATTTACCGATTATTCCAACTGCTAAAGTAAGGTTCACAAAGATGATAGTGAGTTTAAGAAGAGGTTGTATTTTGAAACTATTTTTTGCGTACGATTACGTAGATGCTTAGTTCGACAATGTGTTCATGTTATAACGATAAATTCTATCAACTTCTTAACTAGGAATAAATCCAAAATTTAGCCAGTTAACGTTAACGGGTTAAACTTTGGATTTACAATATAGCGATAGTACTTCTTGGTTAGGAATTTATACGTAACATGCTATCGCTATTTAACGTTAATGTTAACCATATCAGAAACGTAAAGAAAATGATTTTTATTCGTTGGCAGATTTTTTAGATGGTTTATTAATGATAACACAAACAATTGACTAAAGATATTTTCAAGAGAGTGAACGCAATTGGAAATATAATACTTCATGTGATAATATTATATTACATGTATTGCAATCACGCTAAAACGCATAAACTAGTTTTTTAAAAAAAGAATATTGATGTTAGTTTCAACCAATTGAATCATGAATTCCATTTAAAAAAAAAAACAAAGATCTCACCATCAGAATTTGATTCAATATAATCAACCCTAGAATCATTTTTCAATTTCTCAACTGCAACTTTCGATAAGTTTGCTTCGAACGCGGGAATAATACTAAATCTATTTATGATTTCACCGCCAAGATGCAACGTTTCAAGTTCAACTGACTCAGCTTGCATGGGGTCTTTAAGAACTACGATATAGCTCTGTGAGTCCATTTCTAATTACAAAGCAATGCACGTAATCAGAAAATGTGAATATTTATCTAATACAAACTCAATAAAATATTAACAAATTTACCACATGATGCATGTATTAAGAGACAAAATGTGACAATAAAAAACACACTAAGTTTGGGTAAAGAATGCATTATTAAAATGAATTGGAGAAATACGGGTTATAAATTTTTTCTGAAAACTCTTGAAAGCTCGTCATTATATAAGTTTTCAAAATATCATGCACAATGAAAAAGTTTAATCATCAATCTTTATGATCATGATGTTTGATACAATGTTAGGTAAACTAAACGATTCTTCTAACAAATTAATTTCCTACATAATAATAACGAACAAATAATTATTAGCGATTATAACAAAATCTAAAATACATGTATAAGATTAATCCGGTTTTTGAACAGTGAAATTACTAGCAAAATATCTAAATGTTCAAATTAGGGATAAGTCAATAATTGAGTCTTAATTTCCAAATCAAATTGATCACAAGAATTCTCGTTGCAGAATCCTTCGTCATAACTCTGAGAGAATTCCCACAAACGACTTTCAATGTTTGACTTCATCGTTGTCAAAAGGGTCGTAAAATCTTTTTCTTTAAATGCATCAGTTCTCGTCAACGTGTCATTCACCGCCAGCGTGAGCACATTCAAAAATTCACCTTTCGTCGACGCTTCTTTAAGAGCTGTTTTGATAGTTCTTACATTTCTCTCTTTTATCATATCCAAAAAATGACAAATCGATGGTGGATTTCCGCAAATATAATCCATTTTATCACAATCACTCATTTTCCATATTTTCGGTGGTTTCGGTTGTTTGACACGAAATGGATGATTACAATCACCTCTGAATTGTGGTTCTTGACGAAAAATAGCGTTTTCAATTATTGTTGGCAGCTGTGCATCGAAAGTTGTTTCAAGTTCTTGCGCGTGATTTCTCAAAGTTGTGATTATCTTGCTGGTGATTGGAGCGGCGTCATCGGATTGCACGTAATTCTTGAGGTTGATGTTTTTGAGTGCCGTTGATTCCAAATTATTGTATAAATCTTGCCATAATGAATTGGTGACGTTCGAGTATTTGTTGGCAAAAGTTGTGCTGATTCCAACGCGACATGTTTTTTCACAGCCGTTGATTAGATCAACATTAAATAATATAGACGAGAAACTGACCAGCAGTAATATGTTTTTTGAGAAAAATCTTTTCATTATTTAAATGTATGACCGGAAATGTATGTTTTAGGATGTGTTTTTAGTAAACAAAAAATTTCTAGAAAACTTTAAAATTTTAAAGAATGAATATTATCGTTATTAATGAGTTTGAATGAAAGAAAGAAAGGAGTATTATTGCACACTTGTGGTTGAACAACATGTATTAATACATGTACATGTATGTGTACGCATATTGTGCATGACATGCAGACTAAATGTGGTTCACAAGAATTATCGTTATCGTTATGTAAAATGAATTAGCACCGAAATACGTGTAGTAATGAATTTTTTTGTACCAAGCAAATCATGTTACTATAATCAGCATGTTATTATAAAGAATGTTACTGTAATCAGCTCTGACTGTATATCGATATTATAAAAGTAACCTTTACAGTGCGCGCCGTAAATAATGATAAGAAATTACTACATTTTTATATATAATATATTATTTAACGATAATACATGTACAATAATTCCAAGAATAAGAAGTTTATAAATTGCAATAAAAAAAATGAATCGTTAAATTCATATTTGGTCAAATTATCTGAATATTTAAACTATCATTTTTTATGTTGTACATAATAAACTGAAATTGCTTAACGAAATTTTTAATCTTTGCTAATTTTGCAAAAAAATTACCTAAATAATACAAGTTATTATAAATCTATTCAAACTTTAAACCTTAAAGTATATACTGCTTGGTTTTTTAACGGTTTCTGGTGCATCTTTCCGGACACAATAAAAATTTTCATTATTTATGGCGCGCACTGTATTTTTTAAAAAATTTTTTATTAAAAAGATGAATTTTATTATTTACATTTTTAGATAATAACATACAGGGGTACAATCGAACCCCTTATAAAAAAAGGCAAGCACGTAAAATGCACGTAAATATACGGAAATCGCAAGTAGGCACTAAAACGCGACAATTTCCGTATACATAAACACGTTCGGGCACACGGAACCGCACGGAATGACAATTCCGCGTGCCCGAAACGTGTGTTTATGTACATATTTTACGTCTTGCTTTTTTTTTATAGGGAACATATACAAGTGAAACACGAAAAACTGAAGTTTTGATAAGCCGAATACAAGTAAAATTCGAAGTTTACTATAAGTATATTTTTGTTTGCCAAATAACCTTGACCCAAATCCGGACCTAACCCTTTTTGCATCGTTGATGTCATAAAAAATCACGTGAGCCGCACTTTCGGAGGTTCTGGTAGTGTCAGTTATTATATGCTCACAAAAATCAAAAGAAACTTCGATAGAATAGAAAACATGTAAAATAAAAGCAAAATCTATTCAAGGACAAATATATACATGTACAAAGTTACCTTTATCCTTATCGTTATGAAACAAATGCGGGTAAACAATAAATTTCTTAATCAGGATAATGATAAATACGATACATGTACGTAGTTGATTCAATCAAAATACATGTACAATCAAATAATAGAATTAAGTTTCTGAGACAACAATATTTAATATTAATAGCCATTGTTAATACAAAAAAGCTAAAAACCTGGATGAAATCAACAACGAAATTTATACTAATTAAATACTACGATGCTATTAGCACACACAATACAACAAGTTATTATTTGAGTATAAGTTGACTATATTGATCGAGACAATATTTATTCAAAAGAAAAGAAAAATAACGGGGGAACATAGAAACAAAGACTAAGAAGCACTAAGGGGAATTTTGGCTGGTCAATGTGTGTCGGAAGAATTGCTATAACTATTGTTTTTTCGAGTAACAATGCATCATCTTTATTGAAATCAATATCGATACTGTTTACAATGCTGTGCAGTTAGCTTTCTAAGGTTAGTCAACGCTTATAAAATGAGCACTTCTTCGAGTCATTTTTTTTTCCCATCAATCAAACAAATTATACTTCCAAATTTAAAGAAAACAGCTAATTAATCTTTCGTATCCACTGAGCACCTTTCCTTTTTTCCAATCAAACAAAATGCAACCAACAACCAATAATCAATCAACATTCAATCCTGTCGCTGT